CTAGCAGACACTGCGCAGAAAATCGACGTCAATTCAAAGCTCCTCCTTCTGTTCTCTGTTTGGCCCGGCTAAAAATCTGCCAGCGAAATCCTTCTCTATGGGAGAAATGCCAGACGGAACAGAAAAGCGAAACTAGAATTGAGTGGAGCTGCGCAGGAAGGCAAGGGCCAGGCTAGTGGGATGCTAAAACAACCAGTTTATCCTAACAGCCTATGTAGATGACTTTTATTCATTCCCCAAACAAAACAGAGTAATGTTGGTGCCACTGGAACTTTTCTCYGGCTAAGATTGACATTGAAGAGTAGAGTAGCTATCCCACCAGTTTGACTTACTGAAAATTGTAGGAGACGGCACCATCTGGACCTGCAGCCTTTGCAGCAGATCGTGATGATAATACTACCTAAACTAGACATAAGTAGAACCTCCCTTTGTGAAGGCTACAACAGTTTTAAATTATCTTCAGGGTTTTAACAACCTGCTTCCTCCATCTCTAACACATCGTTGATGATGTTACTGAATGTTTGTACTGCAGCTGTTTGTGTTTGGCTTCACAGTTGAGGAGCTCCAAAAGAAGCTGCAGGCTGTTACCAACCCACCCCCAGCTCCAGCTCCTCCACCTCCACCACCACCTCCACCCCCTCCGGCTCCAGCCCCAACTTCCAACCCCCTCAGGTTTGGTCACATTGCCCTGAGTGATGGTTCATGAATGTTGTAGCTTGGAGTCTTGTCAATGTAAAGTTTATACAAGGATTATAACCAAACATGTATAAAAAATACGCTATCAACTATTAATGAGAGTMGGATTCTTGCATGGGACACAGAAACATCCTGGATCTCAGGATCTATGGGCCATWCAACATCTTCAGCAATAATTAGGTTTAAATGTGACCAGTATGAGTTAACAAGTTTGAGATTGTATGAAACCAAACTGCCAGAAACACATTAGATCAGATTTGATTTGTCTCCCCGCACAGTGCACTGCTGTCACTAATTCGAAAGAAAAAAGACCCCAATGATGACATCCCACTGGTGGGCACGGACTCTGCTAAAACACCAGGTATACACTCCACACAGATTTTACTGCTCTTCCAACCACCATGATGTGAGAATTTTACCTGTTACATGTTAGGATTTATATTTTTAAATAAAAAAGTGTTCTCAACAAGTTTTAGTTGTACTCAATTATCTTTGCTTCTGACTATAAGTGAAAGRCTACTTTTTATTAACTGCAAGCATACATGATCAGAGGCAAAAAGAACACTAAAAATATGTACTCAAATAAAAGTGCAGTTACTTTCTTGAAATTTTACTAAGGTACAAGTAAGTTACTTGTATAAAAAATTTACTTAAATAAAAGTAACAAGCAAGTTATTAAAATGATTTTTGTGTAAAGCTGGTTGCTTTTTTCCCCACAAAGGRTAAGTTGAAGTATTTTTCTCAAATAAGCACCTAAAAAATAAAAAGCCTCATAGTTTCATATGCAGTAACAAAATAAAACATGTCTGCACATGATATTTATGGTCATTTCCAGAGGTATATAAAGTAATTAAAAGAAATAACTAAGTAAAAGTAAAAATAGCTTAACAGAAAATGACTTTTGGAGGGTGCATGGGAGTTCGCTCAACCAGTCTACATGTGTTGTGTGGACTTGGAGAAGGCGTTCAACCTTGCCCCTCAGGGACTCCTGTGGGG